CTGGACATTGTGTTAAAAAACAACAACTTGTAGACCTCCAGATAATATTGTTTTCTTTCAGAGAGGGTTTACATTTCCTTTGTGATTCAGGTAGGGTATGGGCTGCTCACCTTAATCCAATCAGTTACTGAGCTGAGTTGAGGTTTTGCTCCTCCCCCTCCTCCCCTCCCCCTCCTCTTCCCTCCCTCTGGCCAGACCCCACAATTTCATTTTGTACTGGGTCCTGCAAACTGTGTAGCTGGCCTGTCATTGACACTCATATGATAGTCAAGCAACCTCAATAGGACAAGGGTGTCACGGCTATTACATCTTCTGCTATTATTGCTATTCTGCTATATTCTGTGACTTGCACTGGAATAAGCCCTTAGCAATGTCATCCTATTCAGTCCTCGCAACCATTATACAAGGTAGGGCTCGTCCATTGGGTGGTTCCCTAACTTCTTTGGGTTTGTTTTCTCATCTGTGAAACTGGTACAATAATGCCCCCTTCACAAGGATATTGTGGGAATTAAGCATCCTTCTTTCTTGAGTGTAGCTCTCCAGATCTCTCAACCAAGAGCCTGAAGCATTCATTTGAACCCCACTCCAGCAAGTACTGACTTTTAGTCCTTGTTTTCTCAGCATAAAACTACTCTTCATTTTAGAGCCCTTTTCCTTGATGCATTAGTTTCCTATTGCTGCTGTAACAAATTACAAACCTGGTGTCTTAAAACAGCACATATATATTATTTTACAGTTCTGGAGATCATAAATCAAAATGGGTTTCACTGAGCTAAAATCAAAGGGTAGGCAGGGTTGTATCCCTCTGGAGGCTCTAGCAGAGAATCCATTCCCTTGCCTATTCCAGCTTATAGAGGCTGCCTGCATTCCTTAGCTCATCAACCTTTCCTCCCTCTGCAAAACCAGCAGCATACCATCCTCAAATCTCTCTCTGGCTCTGACCCACCTGCCTCCCTCTTTCTCTTATAAGGACCCTGTGATTACATTGAGCCCATCTGGGTAATCCATGCTACTTTCCCCATCCAAGATCCTTAGCTTAATCGTATACATGTAAAACCCTTTTAGCCATGTGCTATAACATATCCCTAGGTTCTGGGAGTTAGGTCATAGACATATTTGGTGAGAGGATATTATTGTCCCCACCATTCTTAGTTTTTTAGGTCCTACTTACACAGTTTCAGAATTCAGCACATGTGAAGGAGAACCTACCATGTGATGTTAAAGCTCAGTTCTGCTCTCTCCTTTTTTACAGGGGATCTTGGCCCTTCAGGTCTCCAATTTTATCTCTCTAGCCCTGTAATTTTATCTCTCTAGTCCAGCTGAGTAATTGGTCTGTGCCTGGACAAAACCCATATTCTCAGCCTCTAGCTGTGTGCCTAGAGTTAGCAAACGCCCCGGGGAGAACTCCAGTGCAGAATATCAGTTTACTGCTGCCTTAGCGGGTCACCTCTGTGGAATTTTGGCTTCCCCAGTCCTGTTTGCTACAGCAGCTCTGATTCATTTTATCCAGTTTTTCTAATTGATCTGGGAGGGAGTGCTGAGCTGCTACAAACTGTTACGTTGTATTATTTCTAAATCCTTTTGACACAACTTTATGAATATATATATCTTTTTTCTATACTTCAGGGTTTTGGTATGACCCAAATATTTCAGATTTATCTTTTTGTTATTGTTGTCAATCCTTACCCGAGGATATTTTCTCCATTGGTTTTTAGAGAGAGTGGAAGGGAAGGGGAGAGACAGAGAGAAACATTGCTGTAAGAGAGACACATCGATTGATTGGTTGCCTTCCACACACACCATTATTGGGAAATGGTGTAGAGTCCACAATTGAAGGCAATGATTGTGTTTTATGCATCTCTGTATCATTTGCACCTAGCACTTTGTTCGTACATGATACTCAACAAATATTTGTTAATTTTAAAAAATTGATTTTCAGAGAGAGAGGAAAGGAGAGAAACATCCATGTGAGAGATGTGAGAGCCACACATTGACTGGCCGCTTCCTGCATGCCCCCTATCGGGGATCGAGCGCACAACCTGGGCATGTGCCCTGACTGGGAATTGAACTGGCAACCTTTCCATGCACGGGACAATGCCCAACCAACAGCCACACCAGCCAGGGCTAAATTTTTAGATTTATGTCTTCACTTGTTTCTGCTTCATGAAGTCTTCTTTGGTTTTTCTCCTCTCTAAATTCTCTAAATTTCTGTAGCACTACTACAGATTTAATTCAAATACCGTGCAACTTGGACTTGGAGGCTTGAACTAGATAGACTTTACAATCCCTTTTAAACATAATAACCTATAAGTTAGCACAATTATTCATTATCTTATTCTTTGATGTGTGTTAATTTTTTCACCTAATTAAATTGAGAATTGAGGCTAGAGCTAGATTTTTCTCTTTCAAAACATATGGTAGTTGCTATGTAAATACTTGTTGATTGGCCAATTAAGTAGATTGACTTTACAGTGGGGCCTTGACTTACGAGTGTCCCGACTAACGAGTTTTTTGAGATACCAGCTGTCTCTCGCCAATTTTTTGCATTGAGTTGATAGAGTAATTTGAGTTAACGAGCTCGGTCTCGGAACGAATTAAACTCGTAAGTCAAGGCCCCACTGTATTTCATATTGTTACTTTTGGAGCTTGGAATCAGAACTTTTTAAAGAATGTGAAAAATATTAGGTTAGGGGGAGCTCTTCTGTGTAAAACTTAAAAAAAAACTTTCAAAAACAAACCAATATAATACAGTATATTTTTCACTACAGACTTGAAGCTAAATTGCCTTGGTTCAAAGTGAAGCTTTGTCACTTACTATTTGAATGATCTTGGACAAGATTATTTAATTTCTCTGATCCTCAGTCTTCATGTTTATTAAATAGGTATCTATATATATAAAAGCCTAAGTGACCGGAATGACCAGTTGCTATGAAGCACACTGACCACCAGGGGGCAGATGTTCAATGCAGGATCTGCCCACTGGTGGTCAGTGTACTCCCACAGCCAACCTCCCCCAGCTGGCCAACCTCCCGCAGTGCCTCCTTCCTGGCTGGCCAACCTCCCACGGTCCCTCCCCTTGGCCCCCGGGCTGGGACGGGGAACCGGGGGTGAGTGGTGGTGGATGCGGCCCTTTTACCAGGGGGGGCCAAGGGCTGGCTCCCTCCTTGGGGCCGGTGACCAACCTCCCGTGCCCTGTCCCTCCCCGCAGCCGGCAGCCCCAATCAGCCCGCGGTGCGCAAGGGCAAGGGAAGGACGAGGGGGGAGGCAGGGAACTGCGTGTGGCAGAGTGCCAATGATGGCGATGTTCGTGTCCGTTTCTTCCCACACCCAGCCCAGCGACTGTTGCCTCCTCTCCAGTCCAGCCCTGATCAGCCCTGATCACCAGCCAGGCCTAGGAACCCCACCCGTGCACGAATTTCGTGTGCTGGGCCTCTAGTAATAATAATAATACCTAACTCATAAGATTGAGTTAATACATGTAAAGCACTTAGATCAGAGGCTGGCACAAAGTAAGCAGTAAATTGATGTTATTGGTGAATCATTCATATACATTTAATAAAAATGTAAAATACTTATTGATTTTTTTTTAATATATTTTATTGATTTTTTACAGAGAGGAAGGGAGAGGGATAGAGAGTTAGAAACATCGATGAGAGAGAAACATCGATCAGCTGCCTCCTGCACATCTACTGGGGATGTGCCCGCAACCCAGGTACATGCCCTTGACCGGAATCGAACCTGGGACCTTTCAGTCCGCAGGCCGACGCTCTATCCACTGAGCCAAACCGGTTTCGGCAAAAAAATGTAAAATACTTATAATTAATTTTTAAACTTAATTTTATATTGTGAACATCTTTTCATGTTCTTGAAGTTACTTTATAAAAAAATATCTTTTTTTAAATCCTCACCTGAGGATATTTTTTTCCAATTTGCTTTTCAGAAAGAATGAAGGGAGGGAGGGAGTGGGAGAGAGAGAAACATCAATCCAGGGCGGGAATTGAAACCGGGAGCTGATGCTTTAACCACTTACCAATACCGGCCAGGGCATCAAAACATATATTTAATGGCTGCATGCAATTTTGTCGCCAAGAAATACCCTAATTTCATTTACCAGTCTAATACTACTGGGAACTTAAATTGTTTGCATTTTTTTATTGGTTTTTATTTTGACTGACATTTTTTTCCATACCCCAAAGTTGGAGAGAATGGCCAAATTGAGAATTTAAAGGTAGCATAGGTAATACTGGATGTAGAATTAATTAGAAGATTGAATTCTAGTTCATAGTTTGCCCCTTTCTTTTCTAGGTTGGAGTAAACACTCTGTTAGATCCTTTCCAGACTTACCTTCTCATGTTATTGTAAAGGAATTAAGTCTGTTTTAGTCATAATTCTTAGGTGTTATTATTTTTTAAAAAATATATGTTATTGATTTTTTACAGAGAGGAAGGGAGAGGGATAGAGTTAGAAACATCGATGAGAGAGAAACATCGATCAGCTGCCTCCTGCACAACCCCTACTGGGGCTGTGCCCGCAACCGAGGTACATGCCCTTGATGGGAATCGAACCTGGGACCTTTCAGTCCGCAGGCCGACGCTCTATCCACTGAGCCAAATCGGCTAGGGCAGGTGTTATTTTCTTTAAAAGTCACACACACACAAATATCTTAGCTGAAGTAATCTATGTAACAGAGCTTCCCACACAGAGTTTCAAAAACTTCAAGGTAGTGACCCCTTTAGTTATCAGGCAGCTAGTCAGAGTCTGAAGCTGCTAGACCCCTGGGCTGGTCACCTCCAACTGCAAGCAACCTTATCTATGAGCCCAGGCCCTTTAGTTTACTGTATACTCTGCTGTACAAATATGCTTTCCTGTGTGCCAGCCTATAGAAAGGTTTGGAAGTACTGATCTAAAAGAATGTATCAAGGAAAACTTTTGCTGCTGGCAGATATATGTTTCAGGTCCTTGTTATATTGTTGGTAATTCTCCAATCTTTGATTTTTTAGCATGGCTGCCCGCTGTTTCTGGGATGCTGACACTGACAACTACATTCATGATGTTTTTATGAATGTAAGTCTATTTGGGAACCTTTTCTTTCTTTCAAAGGACATGGGGGCATTCCAGAGGAAATTACTTAATATTTATTGAGATGTGAGCACACTTTCGTTTTAGACTAGTGATGGCGAACCTTTTGAGCTCAGCGTGTCAGCATTTTGAAAAACCCTCACTTAACTCTGGTGCTGTGTCACATAGAGAAATTTTTTGATATTTGCAACCATAGTAAAACAAAGACTTATATTTTTGTTGTTTATTTTATATATTTAAATGCCATTTAACAAAGAAAAATCAACCAAAAAAATGAGTTTGCGTGTCACCTCTGACACGCGTCATAGGTTCGCCATCACTGTTTTAGACATTTGTCTCAGAGTCCTTCTGGAAGAGATGTCTTTACTGTTCTTTTTTTGTGTTACTAAACATAAAGCAGAAACCTAGTGTGCTGTTTATAGGCAAGGAGACCTATATGTGTACAGATAACATAACTCTTCACAAGTTTGAATTTGGGAATAGCATATTGTTCAGTGCTAATAGCCAAATAGCACTTTGCTAAGCTGCAAAGAAGTTTGGATGTCAGAGATTCCATGAGGAAAGGTGATTTTTCTTTCACTAATCAAAACAAGTACTTTATCTTAAAGCTATTTTTCAAAACTAGGCAAAAATAAAGAGGAATTTTTCAAAAGAGTTTTCATTTAAACTTTGGCAAGTTATTGGCATGAATGTTTTATAAATTTTAATTATATGTTTTATACTTGCTTCCTCTGTCCAAATGCTCCCAGGTTGTGAATTAAGAGTCAGAATTAAGTATAGTAGTGTAGAACAGAAACTGGGTTGAGTGAATTAGGAGAGAGGTCCCACTTCCAGCTCTGTAACTTTCTAATTGAATGACTTTAGGTAAGTCATTGGACTTTTATCTGATTGTGTCAGTAACATTAGGAAACTATTCTAGATTTTCCCAAAGACTGGCTGTGGCTTGCCTAAGAATTATTTGAGGAACTTGTTTAACATACAGATGCTGGGGTCCTGCTCAAGTAGATTCTAATCACATAAGCTTGGGGTTGGATCAGTGAATCTGAATTTTTAAAAAGTTCCCCACATTGCCCTGGCCAGGTAGCTCAGCTGATTCGATCTCCAGTCGAGGTGCATTTAGGAGGCAATGGATCAATGTTTCTGTTACATTGATTGATGTGTCTCTCTCTCTCCCTTCCTCTCTTTCTCTCTCAAATCCATAAGCATGGCCTCAGATGAGGATTAAAAAAATCTCTAAAATCAATAAACATGTCCTTTGGTAAGGATTTTTTTAAAGCAGTTCCTCACATGGTTGTGCTTACTGCCAGATTTGGAAGCTGCTTGTGTAGTAGATCTTAAGGTACCTTTTAGCTCTAAAACTCTATGGTCCTACCAAAGTTTCATATTATGCTCAACTACCGTAGGGATCAAGGGCTGAACAATGGGAAGTATTATGTAAATCTTCAATTATCAGTTCTCTGGGGGAAGATTTCAAGTTAAGGTGATGGTTTTTCCTGCTTTTTGGAGTTAAACATTTATATTTCCCTGAGTCGCTATACAATGTAATTCTCATCCAAAAGATAACTCTGAGCTTCTATATTATGTGCCAATCTCTGTACTGGAGGTGCTAGGAATAAAAGGCATGGTTATTGCCTATCGAGAGCTATAAACAGTGGTGGCCAGACAATATTCAAATTAACAAATATGTAGTATAAAACTTTAGTTATCAATATTCCCAGGATCAGATTTTAGAGCACAGGGTTGGAGGGTGCGGTGTCTAACAATCATTTTTGAGAGCCGGTTTAGGTTGCTGAGTTCGTGTACTGTATGTATCTTTAGTCCAGTTGGTTGAGTGTTTAGGTGTCACTTTCAGAACTTAAAGTACTTTATTGTTTGGGAAGCACCAGTAGAGGATGAGGAAGTGAGAGGCGAGAAAAGCATATGCTTTTGAGCTGACAATTGCCCCGCAGAGTGGATAGCCCGGCTCAGTCCTGCTGGAGAACGCTGGGTGACACTGTGGAACAGCACCAGGCAAACTGGGAGCCACAGACCAGGGCCATGAGCCCCGTTACGAGATCAGTATAAAAACTGAGTGTAAGGGTTTAGAAACTCTTATAAGAATTTGACAAAGTAATTTTATGTCCATTAAATCTAATAATAAAACTTTTAGGCTGTATTTGTGTATTTCTTTTTTCATTTTGTTTTCCTTGTTATTCATTTTTATTGTATTTTACAAAAGTATCAGTGCATGAGGGATTGAAAATTAGAACAAAAACAAAAACAGGTCCCTCACGTCAGCACTCAGCTCACAGTCATCCCACCCCGGGAGCCAGGGAGCTGGGCTAACCAAAGGGTTTTGCTTTTGGTTAACAATCAGGTACTTGAGCAGATTTTTTCTCATCACTGCCAAGCTGGAGGTGAGGTTGGTAGGTCAGGAGTTGCTGAGACAGGTGGAGTTCCTATAAGAAATACCTAAAAAGTGTTTTAAAAAGTTTAACTGGGATCTGGAAAGCATTTTAGGATTCTGAGCAAAAAGATGGACAAATGACTTTTCTAAATTAAGAACAAACACCCAGAGGCCATTTACCCTTATCCAGGATTTATGACACGGAGCTGTTATTTTTATTATGTGTGATACTATAATATAGTTCTTTGAGATGGGTAATACATTTTCTCCAAGAAATTAAAATAATTTCATATATTATTTCTTTGATAAATCAGAAAAAATTGGGAATACTTATTTTATGAATATGTATTACATAAAGTTTGTTCATTTTTATTTTATTTCTACATTCAGAAAACCTAACTCTTTACTCATCCTAACATTCTGGGTTTGTGTGTGTGTTTTGTTTTGTTTTGTAGGACAGTTTGTTCTGTGTTGTAGCAGCATTTGGCTGTTTCTACTATTGAAAATTTGAAAGCTGGGAAAAGGTATGACTATGAAGAAATATGAACTTTTTTATATTGTTAAATATCTTGACAAAATAAAGATAACTTGGCAGTTTGGCAACTGAGTCTGTTGAGTTTTAGGACTTACAGTTAATGTTTTGATTTTGTTATGTGTTCTAACTACATCTGTAAAGTAGAGAAAATGTAGGGGAAAAATCCATAATTAAATTGTCCTACATAACTATTAATATTTGATATATTTTCTACCAGTGTTTTTTTATTTGGTGTTTTTAAAAAAAATCATAGTTTTGTAACCGGATTTTTCACTTCTCATAATATCACGTGTAGTTTTTGTCATTTTATTTGCATTATGATTTTCATAAGCATAATTTAATAGTTGCATTTATTCCATTAGGTTATACCAGTGGTCGGCAAACTTATTAGTCAACAGAGCCAAATGTCAACAGTACAACGATTGAAATTTCTTTTGAGAGCCAAATTTTTTAAACTTAAACTATATAGGTAGATACATTGTTATTAACTTAATTAGGGTACTCCTAAGGCTTAGGAAGAGCCACACTCAAGGGGCCAAAGAGCCGCATGTGGCTCGCGAGCCGCAGTTTGCCGACCATGGGGTTATACCATTGGTTATATTTGCCATGTCCTTACAAAGGACTGATTATTGCTACTTTTTTACTATTATAAATAACACTGAGGTGAATTTATGCATAAGGTTTTTTCCCTACATTTTGAATTTTTTTAAATCTCTCACTCATTGTTTTTGTTCAGCTCTTTACACCCTACACCAGTGGTTCCCAAACTTATTTGGCCTACCGCCCCCTTTCCAGAAAAAATATGACTCAGCCCCTGGAAATTAATTTTTTAAAATTTTAATAGCAGTTACTCATCGCCCCCAAATGCACCTGTGGCCATCACCACCCCCCTGGATCGCTGCAGCGCCCACCGGGGGGCGGTAGCGCCCACTTTGGGAATCACTGCCCTACACCTTACACAGCTTATTAGCTTAGATATGCATTTGTTTTCGCCAGGGTTTTTCCAGTGTCATAGACTTTCTGACAGGGTCTGAGAGTTTCCAAGCTGTGTATGAAATTAGCTCTCCTTTAAGACTCTCCAAAATTATGTTACTATACCAACTTCCATTATCTTTGTAGTGATCTTCTCCATAGAGTCCCGAGTGTCTTCTCCAGCTAGCTGCCCTTATTTGGACCACTGTAGTCTATGAGCTGACAAGGAGGAAATTCTGAGGCATTCTAAATTAAATTATAGCAGCCAGAGCGTGCGAGACAGAACAGTTAGCCTGTTAGTAGCTGTGGACCAGCTAACAAAAGACTGCTCATATTCATATGTCTGTTGGAACTTCAGAGTAATTTCCAGGTGATTACTTCTGCAATTATTCCAAATAATGAGCCTTCCAACTCCAGGAGCCTCCACTTTTGTTTGTGCAAGAACTTTCTGGACTGTTGCCCACCAGTCCAAAGGAGCGCACGCTTCTTCCTTGCGGGCTCTGTGCCAATCCCAGGGCTGGCGCTACCTCACCTTCTCCCACCCCCTCTGCCTATAGCTACTGCAAAGGCTTTCAGACAGCTTACATCAGCCGTGGGCAAACTACGGCCCGCGGGCCGGATCCGGCCCGTTTGAAATGAATAAAACTAAAAAAAAAAAAAAAAGACCGTACCCTTTATGTAATGAGGTTACTTTGATTTCAATAGTTCAAAGAACACTCCATCCATGCTTTTGTTCCGGCCCCCGGTCCAGTTTAGAACCCGTTG